GGGGGGCGGGAAGGGATGTAATTTTTAGACTTCCTGCAATCTGGTATCAGAATCCTCTGTTTAAAGGAGATTTCATATTTCTCAAAATCCTTACAAAGAAAATGTAAAGGGGTAAAGGAAGAAGTATCATGTGAGTAACATAAGAAAGTAGTATTTTAGGACAAAGGAGATGATCTTTTACTATTCATAAAACCATTCCAATCCATTCAAAACAACTAAACACAAATCTACAAACACTGAAGAGAAATCAAGTATCTTAATACTTCTGAGTATCTGATCTTATTGCTCTTCATATCAAAATTCTGTATTTCTTCTGAGTCTAAATGGAGAGTTCTTCTTTCATCACAGGAAGTTTTCAATTAATTAATTTGCATTGCATAGCAATATATAGCCTTAAACCTTCACATGGGTTGAATCCATTTCCTGTAATCCCTCATAAAGCCAAGAGAAGAGGCATATTCAAAATTCCATCTTTCCCAAGAAGGAAGCTTGGAATTTATTTTTAAATCATATCCAATCATAATGCATATCACTAAGCTATGTTGCATCTGTTCTCCTTTCCATAGTTAACTACCTCAATAAGATTAGTGTTTTATTGCAGACGCACACACAAAAAATTACCTATTGAACAATATTTTCACTTTAGAAAAGACAGGCTTGAGATAGGTAAACGTCAGCAACTGCAATTAAATGGCTTAGCCAAGGTCAAAGAAATCTATTAGCAGAGCTGGGAAATAAACTAGAATTGCCAAGCTGCAAAAAAGCCTTTCCTACACTTCCTCCTGGTTGCTTCAGTAACACTTATTTGTTCATCTTATTTTCAATCGTTAATAATATTTGTAAACCAGTCCTAAACGATATCAGTCTCCATAGCTCAAGAGAGCCATCAGTATTCCTGCAAGACAAGTGGCATTGGGCTACTTCTACGGAGGAAACAGCCTGTTTAGCTTGCTCTCTGGCCAGTGACAGATTGCTATAAATAGTATTTCCTGTATGGGCAAACACCGTTTCCTCTATGCCCGCCCCAGTGCCCATCCTGCTCTCTCGGTGCATTTCTAACTAAGCCATGTATTTCTGGCATTCTTCCCAAAGCCTCTCCATTACTGCTGAATCAGTATTTCACCTCTGTCCTACTACATGTCTATTCTTGTAGGGTGTTACATCCGTTCATTTATTATTACTGTCTTTCAGTCTTCTCTAAATCGTCCAATCAATCATTTAGAGAAGATGGAAAAAAAATCAATGAGACAACTAATTTTCACCACTAATTATACTCTGTTTAACAATATCCATGTCTACCCATGAAACCAGAAATTTTTTTTCTTTCCTCAACTTTGTGCAGTTGCACAGAGCTGTAAATTAAGCTTAGGAGGGGTAGCGTTTTGTTACTTTGTTATAATAAAGGGTATTAAGCAATGCATTTAATGAAAGAAATTAACATAATAAATATAATTGTATTTCTCAGTCATTAATAGAGATGCCAGTTCCAGCTGGAAGATTCTTGGTTTCTCACCTTATTAGTTAGTAATGGCTCTTTTTGATGATTTTTCATGAAAGGGTCCTTCCAATCAGCTCTTTAACATATAGTAGCTTGAAGTTCAATATAGCACAAATTAAACAGCTCAGTAGCCAACAAGGAGAAAAAAACCCCACAACACAACCTCACTTATTGATAAAAAGATTGTATAATCCTGCAGACCTAAGACCATAATCTTTACTGCAACATTTCTATAGACTAGTGGAAGGAAAGAAAAAAACCCAAACCCCACAAACCTTACATGGATAATGTTATTAATAGCTCAATAGGAATCTTTCTACTGATTTGTCAGAGATCTGGGGACAAGTTTCTCCTCTGATTGCAGCCTGTGTCACCCCAAAGGCTGCTCTAGTCCAACTCTAACTGGAAAACATGATGAGGTAGTTGAGAAGCATCTTACCCTGTGGGATGCTGGGATAAGCAGAATGTGAGTGTCCTTAGGGAAGTCCTGCCACAGAAGATAAAGATGAAGGGTTTGCATGTACGCCCTTGTCTGTAGGAGGTTTGGGACAAAGAGCTGCAGTGCGTGTCAGAACTGGATTTGACAGACTATCCCTGGCTGCGCTGCTCAAGAAGTTTGGAGATGTTTTTTGGCTACAGTCAGCAGGACATACCAGCTATTTTTCCTACATTTCTCAGTTTCTTTTCACTAGAGCTCTCTGCTAGCAGACCACTTTTTTCCCTTTTTCACCAGAGGTGGCCTGCAAGCCACCACTTCAACAGAGTTTGGCTCCTGATATTTAGAATAGAAAACATTGAAAGGTACAGCAGCAGTTGGGAAATGCTAAGATTTAGACAGAAAGAAATTAGTGCTTTTAACATTGTTAATTATTAATATCCCACTGGAAATTCTTTGCCCCATTGTCAGTGTCGATTCCAGTATCAGTATTCACCTTGAAACCATAGACTTGCTGAAGACAAGAGTTAACACGACTCTCTGATGCCTATCATTTTGTACAGTCTTTAATGAGGTGTTGCTATGACAGGTGATGATAAAGAAGCATCTTGTACACAATAGCTAAGCCGCAGTTGCAGGCTTTGTTCAGGCATTGTTATGACAGCAACAGACTATAATGGCAACAGAATACCTGTGTACCAGGCTCGCATGCCAGGAGCAGAATCTTCTAGTAGACAAAGGAAACTTTTTTTTTTTCTGCGCAGACATTTTTTCCTAACTACACTGTCATTCTCCCCATGGACTTCCTTACTGATACAGTTGTTTATAAAGCAATAAATCCCTTGAACAAGGTGTAATTAAAAAAAAAAAAGTGAATAGTGGTCATTGAAGCACTGAATTAAATTTCCACTCTATAGAGAGCAAATACAGACTTATGTGTTTAACTGACAAGGCATAGGGTCTAAAAATTAAATGCCTACATTAATAAATGTTAAAATGGCTAAATCCCCCTTTTAACGTTATCCTGCTGGCAGATGTTCAAGAAGTGATTAATCTGCTACCATTTGTAGGAGTTGTGGAAGAGCTTATCTTTTACCACTAATCAGCCCATGGTGAATTTAGGATACTGAATTAGTGGGATGAGTCAGGTTGGCTTTTCTTACACAGCAAAAGAGAGTGTGTGAAAACGTGAGTTTGTAACAATGGAATATTAACAGATACAATTCTTACTGATTGTATCATATTTTAAAATTAGGGTTTCAACTTGTTTAAGTGATAAAGTAGCCTCAGAAGATCCACAAGGACTAAAAGGCAGAACTGAGCAGTAGACAATGTTGTTTCATAGAAACTACAGAGATTTCAAGGTTCCCCCCCCCCCATTTTGCACTGGAGCAGAACAAATTCTCTGATTTTTTCCAAGTATCTGTTTTTAGAAGGCATTCTGAACAATAAAATTTAAAAGGGGAAGAGTGTGTGAAATATCAATGCTGATGTGGGAAATTGATCAAATCAGATCCAGAATGCTTAATGATGTGTTCTGCTTTGAATCAAATATATAAGCAGGGACTTGAACCTGGATCTACTTTATGTTAAAACCAGTTCAAAACCACTGCCCCATGCCCACTAAACTGTGAGAAAGCCTCTCTTCATCTTTTCTGCCTCCTTGGCAGAAAAAAAAAAAAAAAAAAAAAAAAAATCATTGAGACTCATGCATTTCTGGGGGGAATAAAAATAAACCTTGAAACCCCATGGAAGTTTCATGGCAATTCAGTCAGCTTCAGACTTATGAAGAGAAGGAAGGGCGATCTGCATGAATTAACTCTAGTATTAGCCAAATACTTACCTGTAAGTAAATATTACTGTCCAATACCATTACATAAGCACACTGATACAATTTTATAACATCTGATAAAAGAAACTAAGGGTTCAGTCACATGAAAACACCTGGTTACTCCCCCACATCTGCTTACAGCCATATACTGCAACTGCACTAAACGTAGAACAAACGAACAAACAGACACGTAGGAATATTTGTAGGATTGTAATTGTTCCTCTGCCAAAGTGTTGGAAAAGTACCAATTAGTTTTTTGGTGGGGTGTTTTTGTTCATTTGTTGTTTTTTTGGGGGGGTGGAGGTGTTCACAAGCAAGAGCCATATTAACAATTTTGTATATAAATATTTTAGCCTTTCTACCACTTTGATCTCTGACACTGTAAGGCCCTGTAAGTGTACTTTCAAGTACAGCTTGGGGGCCAGAGTTTCTAGATGAAAGTCATTGTGTGCACTCCAGAGTTACTGGACCTTGATCCATTCGAGATAACAGCAAAGCTTGTTAACTTCAACAGAATCAGTACTATATATTACTGAAATACTGAAATCTTCTAACCTAAGAATAAAGAAGTTTGGTCTTGGAATTGACTGATTATGGTTTCTTAAAAGTGCACTTCTTATTCACAAAAATTTCTGACCCAAGCACAATAAGCTATTAAGCTCTGATTTTTTGAATTATGTTTTTCAGCAGTGCTAAAAAAGTTTTTCCAAACTTCAGCCTAAAATTTTCCCAAAAGCTGTCATAATACAACATTAGCCCAGCACAACAACATGTTTTTTTTGCAGAAAGACCAAATACAGTGATTCTCCAGTGATAACAGATGCTATACAGCTTCTAACATAGACAAATATACCTTCTGGATGTTGAATTACATTTTACTTCTATATGATATTTATTGAGGATTTATATCAAAGCGACAAGTGTCTTCAGTTCCTTATGTAATCAAGAGATGTATATTGTTCAGCACAAAAGACTCAGTCCTAAAGAACTTAACGATGCCAGGAATGATGCATAGTCTTTCCCAAGCTGTGCTCTTGGCAGCCAGATTTTTTTTTTAAATTATTTTTTACCTGACAAATTTAGATTTAGAAAATTGTAAAAAATAATTTCAAAATTACCATCTCTTTAATTGCTAAAACAAAGCAAAAACATATAAAATAGGAAAAGAATTATAAATATATTAAAAACTGTTACTCTACCTCTCCATTAAAGAAGCAGAAAATCGTAGCTACCAGTAGACCCTGTAAAATAAAAATAAAAAGATTCTGCTTTATTTCACATGCATGTGGATTTTTCCAGATTTGAGATAAATAGAGGTTCCTGATAAAATTCAGATATAGATAGCAAAGAAAATGTAGTACAATTCTAAACTTGGTGAATTATTGCTAAAAATACATTACTAAAAAGTATTGGGCCAGCCATCTACCATGATGTTTCTTTCCTTTAAGAAATGAAAATTCAGCATAATGAGAAAGTTAAAGTCATTTATAAGAATATTGCATGAAGGTCTTTAAAAATGAAAACAACATGATCGTTTCTCTTTTATTTGCTTCACATGCCAACTGCTATCTCGCTTAAGTGAGCAAAAACTGTTTAACGCTTCCTACCTGGTAGTGCATAAGGATGTGCATCACATAGTCATACACTTCCTCAGCGATCCGGCCTTCTGGTCGCCATGGAAACAGCACAAATTCAATGCCAAGTAGTGGAACAAGAATCAGGGTAGCTCTCACTGCTTTCATGTACAGGTTGGATTCTGCCTTGTGGGTGTCTTTCAGCTTGGTTATGAGAACACGAACGATATTTAGCAGGAAGAAGAGATTCACCTGTTGGAAAAGAAAATTACACTGAAGATAGCCTGAAAAATAATCCCACATACTGTTTTGTGATACTAAAAATCAGAAACTCAAGAAAACTCATACTACATGGATAGCATTGTGATTGTACAATAAACATAAGTTAAAACTCTTTGAAAACACCTTTAAGTAACTGAGATGCGGCTCTAATATCCACATCTGTTCCTCTAATTTATTAAGCAAGTGTCCATCCAGATAACCATCAGTCTTCCAGTGTTAACAATCCATGCATCTTTCTCTCTGCTATCACAATAACAGTACACAGGTGAATGATTTGGGTTTTTTAAATGATTATGTCTTTTTAGGTTGGTCAAGAAAGAGGATGACATTCTTCCCTCTTTGTATTTAAACATGGTTCTTCAAAAAGCTACGTTTTTATTTTTCAGATATGAATTTGACAAACTTACAGAGAAGAAAAAATCAGATTTAAAAAAATAATAATAAAAAAAAGAAATAAAATTTCAGGCAAAATGCAGCTACGAGGAACTGTATACTCCTGTAGACAAACAGCGGATTTAACATTCTCACAGTGGCCAATGGTTGGATTTTTTAATCATTCAGCAGAACTGCAAATGGTGCAAGCACTGAGATGCTTTACATCATCCTCATGCACTACTGAACTTGATTATTTCCATAGCTATTAAGGCTTTTCTTGTTAACAGTGGTGTATATCTGTTCACTTGACCAAAAAAAAAAATCCCAAACTTAAATCACAACTATGCAGACTATCTTTCAACACGTAAGCACTTGTTGTAAGCAACCACAAAACTAATACACACACACATGTACGTATATGTGTGTATATATACACACACACCCCCAGCCTAAGGATGTGAGTAACCAGAGCAACAGCAACGTTAGGGATGATTACACCGTATTTTCATCTGTCATGCAATCATGGCAGCTTCTTATAGAAACTACAGCTAGAAGAGACTTTAAGAGCTCAGCCAGTCCCATCACCTTGCCCAAGGGCACAGAGGCAAGACAGTGCTGCTTAGGGGAGCCACTATGGAAGGGAAAGACCTAGAGTCTGGTCCTATCTCTTCCTCCAGATAATTGTCTGTCCTTGTCAACAACTATCTAGAGACAAAAAGGGGAGTGGGGGAAGAAGCCAGCAGACAGACAGACAACTCCCTTCTAAAAAGACTAGGAATTCCTGGTCTAGGAGGAGGCCTCTGTCTTGCTGTAGGACAAGTGCAAACAGGGAATCCATTTCAGACCATGTGTGTCACCATGTCCCCCACAACTCTGGCAGAATTCTTTCACATCAGTTAAGGTTTTCACAATAAATAGCTGTGTATTGTTATAGCAACATGGCCCTTGACAGACATGTGATGTTATTTATATTCTACTTAGATGCTATTTAAATAATTTTAACAGGAGATTGTTTTACATAGGAAACTACTGCATGAATTTCTTCTGGAAGTCTCCAGCTACCTCTAAGCTTTATTTAAGCAATCAAGGTCTTCTGATTCTTTCTCAAGGGATTTTATTTAGATTTTATGCAGCCCACAATCCTCATCCAACTTCCTTGGTTGTTTAGCCTGGAGAAGAGGAGGCTCAGGGGAGACCTCATCGCGCTCTACAACTACCTGAAAGGAGGTTGTAGCGAGGTGGGGGTTGGTCTCTTCTCCCAAGTAAGAAGTGATAGGACAAGAGGAAATGGCCTCAAGTTGTGCCAAGGGAGGTTTAGACTGGACATTAGGAAAAATTTCTTTACTGAAAGAGTGGTCAGGCCTTGGAACAGGCTGCCCAGGGAAGGGGTGGAGTCACCATCCCTGGAAGTATTTAAAAGACGTGTAGATGAGGCGCTTAGGGACATGGTGTAGTGGGCATGGTGGTGTTGAGTTGATGGTTGGACTCGATCTTAGAGGTCTTTTCCAACCTTAATGATTCTATGATTCTATGATTCCCATAGTACACATAGATAATAAATCTTTCCTCCATTTCTAACTTTAATCCTTCTCAAATCTACTAGTTCAACATCAACATGTCTCAAACACAGACTTTTCAGCCCTCTTGTGTTTTGGTAGCACGGCTATCAGTATTATTCCTGTAATACTATCCTTGAATGCTAACTGAAGATGAAAGCTGCAGCAGCCAGGAGTAAAACACCACCCAGCAAACTACAACACGCTGAAATTCACAGAATTTTTCTAATTGTTCCACTTACCCACCAAAACCAAAAAGCACAAAAATAAGCATTCAAAGAGTCTGCAAATAGGTATTAGGGCAAACAGAAAAGATGAATGAGGCAAAGCAGAGGACAGAGTTGAGAAGAAGAGTATGAGCGTCAGTAATGACAATGTCAGTATGCAGCACCAATTTTTGATGAATATCTCTTCTGTCACAAAGTATAGTGACATCAGGATGAACTGAATTCTTAATTAAAGTGATAAAAATAGGTCTTGATGTCAGCAAAGTAGTGAGTAGATTTTTACATTTAAGCAAAAGTAGGCCAGTGGAACTACTCGCCTGTATATTATCATCACATTGACTGTGATGGTTTGGAAGGCCTCAAATAAGTCCTGTTGTGCTAGCTGCAGTATGAACACATAGTAAAATACTGGCAGCTCCACAGTAACCTGAAAATTGAACCGGGCAAATGAACAAAAATGGAAACAAAGGCACAGGACGCAATCCTAGATAAAAAGAAATGTTGGTGCCTATACTGGGAACTTAGTAGAAATTAGGTTCTGCCTTAAGAGTAGCTGTGAACTTAGCTGAGCTTGTAAGTCAATAGGTGCTGCAGTTCTTGAATTAAACTCTCCTCAGGTCCCTGATATTTCTACTTCTCTCCATGCTGAGTTTGTGCTAAGCTGTATGGTAATCCTTATCCTATGTAGGTTTAAATTCTGTTTAAATTCCTCCTTAGGATGATATAAATAGACCATTCTCAGCTCAAAAACCTCAGATATTCTTAGATACTAGCTGGTAGCCATTGCTTGGCTTTTAATACAGTTATGCAGCTTCAGATCTTAGCCTGCTTGAGCCTGGCTTGCTTGGGCAGAACACCTGTATGTGTGCTCATGAAGACAAGTTTTACACCTGGCCTGTGGACATTCCCAACGCTGGGTATATAAATGCTAAGCATTCAACTTCTAGACTCCTAAGTCTTGTACTGAGTCCAGCTTAAAGTCATTAAATAGGTCAGTGACAAAGCTAGGAGTTCCTGAACTTCCTTCTAGTACACGTTCACTGAGTACACTTACTTCTTCTGCTAAAAGAATTTGCATCTATAAAAGGCTGTCAGTCCAAGACAACAATACATAACATTATTATAGGGCAAAATAAACATCCCTGTAGTATAATTTATATAAATAATGGCATAACTAAATCAAAATCTTCTCTTTCAGTGGCACCAATGCAAACTAAATCACTAGTGCGCTGGTACCTCTGAAATCTATACTGAAATCACTATTGCTTTCACTGAAGTTCAAACCCATTGCTTTTTTCACCCCTCCCTCCATTTTGATCAATATTTGTCTAGTGTAAAAACTAACACCACTTTCTACTGTTTCATTCCCACACTATTTCTTTAATTGTGGTTGCTTAGGCAAACAGTTGTAATTAAATGGTCAACTGAAGACAACTCCAATCAAAATGCAACCTATGTCTGCTCCCATTTGCAGTTTCTTTGGCAGGGATCTGACCACAGTTATGTAAAACAGGGACAGTAAAAACAGCATTATTGTTAACTTCATGTAATTGTAGGGTTTTCAGTGATGTACAAGAGTTAAATTCCCATTGGCTCCTGCCAATTCTCCCTGGCACCCACTTGACAGTCCTCTTCATGTTCTTTGAGATCTTGCTCCTGCAAGTAGAAACAGTGTCTTCTCCCTTGTTATCTAATTTGCAGTTTAATATTGTTGCTTAAATGCAAGCAGGTCATGCTTAGTAAAGTGTGAAAATTGGTTCTGGCAAGCAAGCTGCTTAAGCAAATCAGGATTCTGTTTACAAAGCCTAAACACATGCATTTCATCTAATGACTTTATCTCTGGCTTGTCTTTTCTGAATTGACATAATACAATTTTTTGTTACCAGAAAGGAAAGCAACTCCTTTAAGGTACTTTCACATCACAGGCAAGATGTGTAGTTGTGTTTAATCTTTGTTATTCTTACATGGCTTTCAAATAAATTTACCAATTGTAGTGAGGCAAGAAAAATGCAAGAGAAACACCTTCAGTCAGCTCATGAAATATCAAGTTATACATATCTGTAAATTGCAAAGAGAATGGACAAAGATTCTACCCAAACCAACCCCACAGAGGTGATTATTATGCCTCCCGTAAAATCAAAGGACATTATTAGTGTTGTCTTGAATGGAAAGACGACTTGACAGTTTAGGACTGATCCAGTACATTTGAAACCAGTAGGAGTCTTGCCACTGTTTTCAGTATGACTTTGTGGAGGCCACTGCTGGGAAGGAGAAAATGATCTTACACCCTAAAATGATGTTACTTCATGGAAGATGGTATAGACTCATAACTTTTACACAAATTTTTCTGTTGTTATTTAAGCAAGCTCTGACTAATACAAATTATATTTCAGCTTTAAAGAGCTTTACTTAAGTGATATATCTGTGAAGAGACACCTGGACAAAGGAAGTAACAACCCACATGGCAATGCAGAATGGCATACATTTTCTGGGTGAAATACAGCACCACTGAAGTGAGAAAAAAACCCCTATCCCTTTCTGTGAAAACAGGATTTCATCTTCTGTGTAAATTAGAGAGAAGAAAAGTTGAAAGGATTTAGAATTGGTTTTAAGTTTACAGATTAGAGCACTAGTTGAAGTGCCTTAACTTTAACATATATGGCAGACCTAACAGGACAAGGGATTATCAGTAATAATTCACACCCCAAGGGCCATGGATCTCAATAATTTCATGGGGACTGCCTCTGGCTTCCCATGCAGAGGACCTCAGGTGTATCATGATATTAACACAATCTTCAAAAAGTACACCAGCTAATTTCACTGTGAATGAAAATGGGAGTCACAAGAACCACAGGATTTATGCAATGATTTTCAGAGAGAATTCTCTATGCACAGAATGCCCTCTGCAAATATTCATTAACAATTTAACAGAAGAGGAAGTTCATATAGATGAGAAACTGAAATTATTTCCAAAAAGTTACTTAATGTTTTCATTCTTAATGAATTTCCTTGCATGAACTGAAAAGTCAGTAGACATATATACAATACCAGATTTTTTGCCAGATCAGTTTGAAGTTTCTGTTACAGTAAAAAAGATGACTATTGTATATAGTGAGCATATAGAATGCTTCTACACTGCAGCATTCTCTGCATTACGCATTCATATATATTAATTATGTAGATAGTTGGTAAGTAGGTACATATTAGTATTTTCTTTTATTATGCACCTATTTCTATTTAGCAATAATCTATTGACTGAATTTCATAGGTTGAATTCAGTCCTAGAATAATTGAAATGCAACATTGATTTTTATACAGTGGAGTCTTCAGTTGCTTACTTAGAATTTAATGTCTTCAGTAGCAAACATTCGTGTAATAGAGCTGGCATTAACTTGGAGTTTAAGACAGAACACTGTGCTCTAAGAGTTCATGAAGACTAATGAAGCAGAGGAGTTGCCATATCCCGGTGGCCAAAGCACACATTGCTAGATTAGTATCAGAACAGGGACAGTCACAGATACTTGGCAGAACTATTTTCACTGGTTCTTTTCCAAGGGCCTGCTCTAGTTTCTCTCCATCCCGTATTCCCACCCACAGTGAGTCCTGACATTCAGGAGTCCTCTTTCTGAACCTCAGTGAGGTGCAGTCTGGTAGTTGTTTGGCCACATTAGCACAGTGACACAATGATGCTTGTAGTAGGGTCAACCTGGCAAATGGCCTGGGCAGTGAGAAAGCATTCTCAGCTAAAGGAAGGATTTGAACATGGCCCTCCAGTACTCCAGATAATATTTAGTCCTTCCTTGTCACTAGCATTTAAGTGGAATGATAATCAACATTGCAAAACCTGAGTTTCTCAAAGGACCAGGGGTACAGCTCCTTAATAAGGCCAAGAGTTGTTTATCTGGTGTGTCTAAGGCACCTACTGGGTTAAGTGAGAGCCCTGCGAATGACAGTGACCTCTAAATGTTAGCTTTAGGCTCTTACCAACTTTATAAGCCCATGAAGAACAGCCAGAAAACAAATAAGAAAAGCAAATTATTATCTGAAAAATGCCTACCAACAGAGCAGCACAAATAGGGCCATGGATGATGTACAGCAGATGAGTATCAGAGCTGATCCAACAACTAGAGAAAACAAACAGGGAAAGAAAAAAACATTTGGCATTTTATTATCTGTTGTATTCCTTTTTTTCCCCTTAAAGAAAATATAACAGTTTTGCACAGCAAGTTGAGATGCTACTTACTTGTCATTATAATATAAACTTCTAGCAACAGCATGTATGCAGGCAGGGATCAGTGGAAAACCTGTGAAGAAAAAACAATGTTTTCTTCATATATAAACCTGGCTAATAACTAAGTAAACTTGCATCTCCTGCTGGAATCTTCTCTATTTTCACCTCATCCAAACTATATACCTGCAGAGCAAATAAAGTAACAGGGACCAATTCCGTTTCTATTTTCTCAGATTTCTTTCAGAGGAGTGTATGAAACCTTATTCCCATTGTTTTACCAGGAAATCCTGGTAAACAGAAATCCTTTACACAGAAAGAAAAGGCAAATCAAATTACAAATTTTTAGAATGTAACAATCAATTTTCATTAACACAGATGTTTTTTATACTGCAATCTTCAATAAAGCTAAATAGGTAAGTAATATTAAAAAGGCAATTGTATATACGACCATAGCTTTAACAGTATGATTAGCAATGTTGATTATGTCCTTGATACTTGCTGGGCATTCAGAAAACAAGGTCACCTGCAAAAAAATTTGAAAACAGACTCTGGAAATCAGGCTGAATTCAAAATCTAAAAAGAATAAACAAATTAGTTATCTGGGGTTCTTGACACCCTGGTGGTACCTAATTTTCAGAAACTGTTGAGCACTTATGATCTTTTAACCACATCTCAGTTGTGTCTGTAGTGGGACAGCTAGCGACCCAGGTACCAAGTCACAGTATAGTTGAATGTGCCAATACGCTGAAGCTGAGGAGAAAGTCCTCGCTTGCACTTTAACATGCTGTTGTGCATTATCTGAAATGACCAGGTTTGGCTTGTTAGTTTTGATACCAATATTACTTGAGACCTTCAGCTACAGCTATTCTGTATTTGCTTAGTGAACAATACAGGTCAAATGGAACTGCTGAAAAAATAAATCCTTGGCCATCTCTAACTCAGTTCTGACCCTCCACCCTAGACATGGCGAGACTTCTCTGAAAACAAACATTCATTCCTGAATAAACATCTTCGGGATTAGGAACAATGAATAATTACTTCTTAATGTCTTTTTTATAATAGGAGACTATTTTCTCTATACAAAGGAGGAGTCGCTTCCTGACTCCAGAAATGCATAATCTCTCTTTCAGCAAAGATAGAGGTACATGCAACTTCCTACATTAACATTGCTAAGCCTGTTAAAACATTGCAGACAAAGAAGAGGGGTGTGTCATCGTTGTTCAAAGCTACCAGCTCAGAGAAGCAAAGGGACAGATGTTCAAATTCTCATGAAAAGAAGTAAGAGAGTGCATTAGCCTGAAAATACAGAATGCGAAATTGCATACCCCAGCCAAGAAGGTAATACCACATCAAGTGTTGTTTCTCAGCAAAAACAGCCACCACAATGAGAGTATGCAGGTAAATGCCTTCACACAGCATCCAAAAGTAGTTGCAACCCATTAGGTACAGGTAGATGAACTGTGACACTTTGCAACTAACCTGTAGGAAAAAACAGAGTACAATATAAATTTTTAAGTTCCAAAAATCTCAGAGCTTTATTTGCAAAATGGAAAAAAATACTGCTCGAGTCAAATGTTAATGTTTTTTCTGTTTTTTACTACAGTTACTTTTTTTTTTTTTTAAATAGAATTTTCATGGAATTACAATTCCATACTTTATGGTAACAAAAAAGTTGGTAACTGAGTCTGTATTTTTATTATTCAAACATGAGGACCTCGAGATCCTCAAGAATGATGGCAGAAAGCTGTAATGATATTTTCCCTTATTGCAAACATTGCCACATTTGACCATTACAATCAATACGGAATCCTTAAATTAGCTGATGGTTACTGCACAAGAAAATGTACTTTGGTGAGGATAATGCCCTCTCGGTTTTACCAATCACAACATATAACTACTCCAGAGAACGATTTATGTTTTTAAAATGCTTGCAATGCTTCCAATTTTAACCTAGTCATAACTGCACTTAGGGCCAGTTGAGAACTGCATAGTAGGTTCTGGAAGGAAGCTCCCTTCTTGGCATATATTTGTATTTAGCTTCATTCAAAAGATATTCTTCAATTGAAATGTTGTAACTTATGTGCAGACTAAAAGGTGAGGTTGTGAAAAAGGAGCAATAGGTAACTTGCAGATTCTGACACCGTAGATCCTTTTTTTTCTCCTTCTGAAATTGCTGTGTGTTTGATTGATCTATTTCACCTAGCTTAAAACAAACCAAAAATCAATATTGTTTTACCATGTTCTGCTACCTAATCATTTGATGATGATTATTAGCAGCTCTCTCAAGCCTATTTTCCAGTACTTTGATGAGCTTTTACAGGAGAAAGAGAATTTATCTTTTTACTTGATTCAGCTTCTGGAGTTTTGCCCTAACTTTCACAGAATTTAAATTTATCTTCCAGGTTTAAATAAAAATAAAGCCATAGTTAGGGATTTGTTTGTTTTTGTATTTCATTTTCAGGCTCTTCCATTGCTATAACTCCTAGCCTTTTGGGAGAGGCTACTGATTCACACTTGCCCCAGAATAATCAGGAAATGAGAGAGAGAAAAATCAGACCTGAATGGACAGCTTTTTTATTTTGCTTTTTACTTTTGGAATATAAGGGTCAGCTTTATCTCCCTTCACAAAAAAAACTAATTCTTCTCATTTCAACTGAAGATGGCAAAGTTAAAGCCATAGGAAAGTAGCTGACATCCAAAATACACTCCAAAGCTTTTTTTACTGCCCTTCCTCGGTGAATTCAACTGTCATAACCTCACTGACATCATTGAGAATAGGCTACTTTCTTGCAGTTGTTTCAGTGCAAAGGTGACTTGTACAAATTCAGAAGAGCAGTTCAGTATGCTCTGTCTCTTAGAGTGTTTTTACTATTTCGAAACCTCAAATGTGAAATGCCCAAATCATTGTTAGACATCTGTTGTAATATGTAACATAGATACATCATTACTGAACATTTTAACCTCGCTATACAACATTTCATCAAGTATTCATGTCTCATTTATCTCTTCTGCACTGCTGAAGTTTTTCACATACAAATCAATGACGCTGCCAAATATACTTTCACTTACTGGATTAGTTGCAACTAACTCCTGATTGTTGGCAACTGCAGTCAGTGAAATTATTGTCACAACAGAGTTGCAAACAAAAGAGAAAAACAGATTTTTATGCAGGGTAATCCTTTGGCAACTCAAGCTCCTAGAAAAGAGAAACAAGAACAAATGAATACACGGGGAGACAACTGTGTGTATTTGGGGCCAACTGTGAAATTTTTAAATACTAGAGCTCTTTATTTTATTAAGAAGTCTTACATCAACGCTTTCTTCAGCTCCAGTCCAAATTTAATAGAATGATGTGAAAGGTAACACCTTCCCTTAAACGCCAACAGGAGGCAAAGCAAGTACATTCAGTTCCAATATGTTTACAGTGAAGGACCTGCTTTGTAGTGGCTATCTAAAAACGATTTGAATAGCGATAATGTAACATGTTTCAGAAGATTTATACCTTTTTTTATTAGTACCTGAAGAATTTCCCAATTAACTATCATAACTGAGCTTGAAGAAACTGTCTTATCTTATGTTTCCATTTACCCAAACCTATTAAGATTTTCTAAGGATAATTCTCTTTTACTTTCGTAATTTTTCTTCCTTAATCCTATAGCTAGAGAAATACCCAAATAAGTAAAATAACTCAAATCTTATCTTGACTTCTGTATATAACTAAGTTATAAACAGTATATAAAATACAATTACAAAAAGGAATATATAACCGCATTTAATTGTGTTAATTTTCAAGGTTTGCTTTTAATTTTGCAATAAAATTAAAGAGAAAAATATCTTTGGAAGGGCTTTCTTTTTTTTAAACAGAGTTTCAATAATATTAAATAATACTAGAAGTTGAACAGTGGCAGCAGATTTCTGTTTATCTGCCATTCTAGAGAAAGCAGGTCTAACTTAGTTCCATTCCAAGAGGCAGGAGTGCTTCTCGTTCAAGTGTTTCCAAAGAAATTCAGCTTTACAGACAAACACAAAAGAAGATAGAAAGCCTATATGGATATATAAACAATTCAGATCATGGGGATATTAAGGCTTAATGCTCAAAATTCCCAAAAGATCAAGTAACATCCATTTTATTATGAAAGCAGATGATCGGTTTACAAAGTTGAGTAAAAATGATTCTTTTAGATTTGAGTTAGGGGGTGCGCAGCACATATGAGCAAACTGACTCGATCAGAGTCATACAGCAGGTCAGTGCCAGTAGTCAGGAACACAGCCCGGTTTTGCAGGGTGAGCATTGCTCAGAGAAACGTCTCCCACAGGCAAAGAGAAGTGATAAAGACTGTGGTACTGTGGTCACTCTCAGGAAACACTAGTTGGTTACTTTGGAGAAAGCATCTACTGAAGCCTGAGTCTGTGCTTTATAACTGCACCTACCTACCTCCATTTTATAGCCAGCAATACGGAGTGCAGTTGATTGACAAAATGAAATGACTAACTGCAGGAGAAAAATCTATCACTTACACAGGCAACTGCCCTTCACTGTTAGAGAAATCAGAAATACATTGACAAGGTCAGCAGGAGACAAGTCTAAATTGTTACACGGGGAAAAAAAAGAAGTTTTCTAGCCTTTTCAAATAGCATGCCTGGAAGAAAAGATAAAGTATGGACATTGGTGATTCATTTTTATTTGGGAGGGCAGGAGGGAGAAGAACTTTATATTTTAACAGAGAAATGCAGGTATGGAATAGTAACAAAAGCTGGAGGAGTATATTGAAAACTGTTGAGAACATGACAGATGAAACAAGAAACAAAATGACCCCACTGAACAAAAGAGACAGTCAAAAAAGACTGGCTATAGAGGAGACTGCACTTCTTGGTTGCATTCTTTGCAACTAGCACAAGAGCGTATGAAGCACCCTGCAGATACCTGGAGTAAGTTAATAGGTTCACATACGCACAGTGCAATACCATGAATCAGGCAGAGTTTCTGCAAGTCAAGCCTTGGAGCCCTGAGACATTCTAAGCCTCATGTCACTAAATATGGGGGAAGGAAACCACTCTAGAAACCAGTGCTGCCATGCAGCACAAGGAACTACCCTAATGAACCTCTGGTTGCCAAGTGTTATTTACCTGAAGAAAACAGAAAAGAAAAAGTGTCCAAAATACAGAACACAGGCTTGGATATGAATTAAGTGATAAAGTATATTCCGTTAGGCTTTTTTAAATTTTATTTTTGTCTTTCAATTTTAATGCCTAAAATGCATAAAGCTTTGATTATTATAATATGCAGGTTTTTTATGTTCTTTGAAAATGCATTTTTATATGTTTTTTTTTCCCCTGTGTGGTTTATATATGAAAAGAGGTGCAACACTAGATTCCAGCTAAGAGCTTTGTGTAAACAAGTCCTGAAGAACTCTGGAATTCTGTCTGCTTATTGTTAAGATTCAATGCGCAGACAAGGAAAAGCACATACAGCTAATGGGGCCATCGCTCAGGGTCATCCAGCAGCTGTTCCTGTTGAATATTCAAACACACCCATCCACACCCACCTCCACCCATGCATAAAAAGATTGAAAGGATCACCGGACAAGAAATAAGAAAGCAAGACTGATGACAGTTAAAAATGAAGACTGCTTTTGGTAATAAAAGGATTTTCTCCTAAGCCTCCCCACCCTCCCTCTTCTGTTACCCTTCCCATATTCCTTTTTCTGACTGTTTCTCTTAATGACATAATATCCTTTAATCACTTAATTCTCATAATTATGATCTAAGAACATTTGAATGACCTACCCCTGGATTAAACCATGTGCAGTAAAATAAAAACAGACCTCCTGCTAAATTATCTATTTCCCTTCCTATTTTGACTCCTGTATGTCCTGGGCATTAGGGAAAAATTAATTTCTCCAATATTTCTCCAAAAGAAAAAAGGTAACATTTTCAAAAGCCCCCAGACGTGTTTGAGATCTAATTTTTTAAGGTATTCAAATACTGCAAAATTCAACCAGTGAGATCCACATATGCACCTAAGGGAATTATCCGTTCAGCTGAAATTAACCTAAAGTGACTTAGGAACCTCCTATCTCTATATCAATCTATCATTCAGTTGTTTGCCTGCTCTTTAAGCATAGTGTTGCTATCCTCTGTGAGTGCTGACATGTGATTTGACATGATGCTTGATCAACAACTCCTTTATTTCAGGTGGGGTTTTTTTGTTTGGTTGGTTTGGTTTTTGTTTGGGTTGGGGGGGAGGGGACATCTTTAAAATTATAGCTCCCCTTTCTTGGAATTCACTGTTTTTTAAAGTTTTCTCTTGCCTTGTTTTTCTTTCTTTACGAAAACCATACAACTATTTTAATAAAAGATTCATAATAAACACATGTATGATCTAGAGTATGTAACAGAAGGAGAAAGCAGAGCCACTGCAAGAAGTTACTTTTGTGTGTCACAGATGAATTTTCAGAGAGGAAGATTGGAGTTCCAAGTTTATAGCCCATTTTATGCTATTAAACCAAGAACTCCAATCCATTTGGGGAACACAAGTCACAAACTGGACAAGTATTTCCAATGGGACAATTTTCTGAAGAAAAAACAGAATTTCAAATGAAAAAATAAAACGCACAAAAACATTTTAATCTTAAAAAAAAATTCATTCAAAACCCAAATAGTTGATACTTGAAAAGCTGAAGATATTTGAAAAAACCTGTCATTTTTCCTATGGAGAAAAGTATCACCTTTCTAGTCAAACCTAAAGATATTTTAATGGTCAGCAATCCAGCAAATGTTGGAAACTATGGAAACTATGAATCGACTAACAGAATAAAGATTTTGGAAACATGACAAATTCAAAGGCTCCCACACACAATAGCAAAAAAAAAAAAGTCCACCTGTTAAAGCTATGAATAACTATATAAGCTTCAGCCAATACATAATACATCCTGGTATTAATCTATATCCTTAAATACCCTTCTGGTACTAAAAATACTTTAGAGGAACTGTACTTCCCAAGAGAACAGCTTATAGAGGACTTTCTTTAGCTTCCTTTAAATTTTGTAATTTCTTTTTATATCCCAACATAACCACAGTCTAGAAAATGTGGTTTGTGGGTCTGGATTAATTCCATGTGGTTCTCTGACGAGAGATGATCCTCATACCAGAGGGAGAAAAAAATCCCTGGAGGGTTAGACAAACATGACATAGTTATAACGGTAGCAAAGCAGATCACCTGCTTTTGCAATAAGTGCCACAAGCCAAGATGAAATTGGCTTGGTTTTCATATTACAGAAAAATCATGCTTTACTGTCTCTGAACTTTTAAAATCATATTGTATTCCAAATCTTTTTGTTTTCTCCTGAGAAGTCTATGTCAAAGCATTTTTCCTGTTACATTAGATATTTAGTCTCTTAAACTTTTTGTGACATGTATAGCAACAGTATAGCCCTTTTTTATGCAAAATCAAGCTTCTTATAAGGACTCAGCCATTTCACATGTTGATTTTGTGGAGGGAAAGTGAATTTGGAAATGGTAAGCATTGTTTTTACAGGTATATGCAAATAAATCGATTAAAAAACACAAATGTTTTGGTTTTCCCTCATGAAAAGAAGTCAGAAAAAGCTGAAAAGTCATCTTGAATATTGGATTTCATAAAGAGATGCTACAAAGTTGAAACACTCTGGTTTGTTGGGAATTTGTGGAGATTTTGTCCCAGAACCTGGGGAAATAATGCATATCTAAATTGGAAACACTATATTCAGCCAGATGTGACTAAAAAGGATAATTTTTTATCAGATATCTGCTACCCCTATGTAATCAAAGTCCAAAGCATGAGAAAAGCAAAATCTGAGCTAGCCCCACAGTTGCTGGTGTATATGCTATTCATATTTAAATGTTAGGAAAAAATAAAAGATGGAGTGAGACAGTAAGGTATAGTGGTAAGAAATAAGTAAGACCGTAGAGGAGATCTATATTGCCCAATGAAAAACAATGCAGAAATAAATGCCAGTTAACAAGGAAAACCTACACTGTGCAGTGCAGCATTTGGCGGAGATAACAACTTGTCTCTCTCAGCTTTGCTCATGTGGCAACACTCCTGGTTTCACCTCTCTACTAAGCCTCATCATCTTCTTTAAAAAAGAAAAAAGTGTCTTTCATGAGAAACGAAAGTAAACTCACAAAATGTGAAGTAATAAGAAGACTAATTTTGAAAGACCTGTGCATTATATGACAGTGGTGATACACTGCTCAAACTTTCTTTCAGGAGGGTAACATAATAACTGTTAGTCAATGGATATGACATAATGGCCATAGACATATTACAGTGAATAAAAAAAAAAAAAAACAGGATTATTTTTATTATTCCCATTCCCTACTGTAGCTCTTAGCCTTACTTTCTTTACAATTTATCATATTTTGTGGCTACCTACTTTGGAATGTTACTGTACCTATCGTATGTCATCAGTATTCTGGTTTCCATTTGCTCTTTAGTTTGGTTGCCCGACATATCCACACTGTAATTTATTATGAAAGAAAAAAAAAAAACAAAACACAAACCCAAAACAAACAAACAAAAATTTTCCCATTTTCCCATTTCCTATTTTCAATATATTCTACAGTTTTCGGTTTGCATATTTGGGATTTTATACTGACTTTCTTCACCCTCTTGCTCCATCTAATTTCATTGGGATGGCTGGTGTTTCAAAGTATTGAAACTACGATTGTTGCAACCCCTGATATGTAGTAAAGGATTTTAAATATACTTACTTAAAATAAAAGAATATGCCAAGAGAAAGCAGAAGTGATGCAATTGAAAGACCATGTCCGATGATGGCCAAGTAATACAAATTCAGAGCAGTCTGCAATAAAAGAACAAAACCAAGCACCTGTGATGCATACAGAACTATTGTTGATAAAGCACATACTTATACATCTCTTCTGCATATAAAATGACTACAATAGGATTAAGAAAATAAAAACATTACAGATAATGATAAGTCAAGTCTAGAATCACGCAAATCAACATCTTACTAAAATCTCTTTCTGTAGGACAAACAACAGATTTGTTGAAATCATCACTAGAACTTACCTCTTATCAGTTAAAACATTAGGTTTCTAATATATACTGCTATGTTTTTTCTGAGTATTTACATAAATCTGGCTATTTATGCTACTGCACCTGGTGCATTCCTGTCTGAGGCTTGATTCATGTATTAACACAACTCTTAAGTAAAACACGTGCTTCCTATATGAATTTATGTATTTTTTCCTCATAGAATGTTTTTTCTTATCATTTAAAGATACTTCCTTCAAAGCAAGCTGTGATTATGATATTGGAAATTTAGTTTTCATTTGGCATTTAAGAAAGGGTGTGAAAAAAATCAACAATAACTCAAAAATAGTGAAGACTAAACAGTCTTGTTAAATAAGCCTACAGCCAAATTATAGAATTATAAAAAGCTGGGTAGATACAAAAGGTAAAAATGAGGAACTAGTAAATGAATATTTGGAATATATACAACATGTTATCATTAATTCTTTGAATTAATAAATATATTAAATTCCACTAGTAACAAACCCCTGTTTTCAGTCATGGAATCTGCCTCACAAGATTTCTCTTGTTGAATTAAATGTAAGATTATCATTTTGCACGTAAGGAAATTAAGATATTCAACTTGAACCTTATACTATCACAATAAGGCATAACTATCTGGAGTCTATACGGAGAATTAGAGCATACACACAAATGCTCATGTACTCCAAACTGTATGTATCCTCTGAACCTATTATTCCAATTTAAGATAGACTAACTGCAGCTTGCTACATGTATTGACTTTTGAAATAATATAAAAAGATTCCAGGTAAAGCTTTAAGAAGGTTGTAAGATGAGACAAAGGTACCTCTTTGTACATGCTAGAATTTTTCAAATTGTTGTTATTTTTAAAAATGAGATAACTTTAAAAAAAAAAAAAAAAAAGAAAAAAGCTATGCTTTTAAGTTTAAGTGAAACTTTCATAAAACTTTGGAAGTGAGAAAAAACAAGGGTTACCCCTGAAATGCTAAAGTTTGGCTACGTATACATAATGACAGCCTTTCTATGACAGGTCCATATCCCGTATCACCGCCTCATTCAGTGACCAATTTAGGCAAAGGTGCATGTTAAAGATTTAGAAGATTTCCACAAAATTTAAACCTGGCAAGAAACAGTGGTACAGCAGGGACTGCTGATGAGGGCAATAACAATAAGAATTGAACAACGGACAACAGTCACATTTATTGTGCATTATCTAACCTGCCTTCCTAGCAAAGTAAAAAGATAATGTTGTTTAATATAACAACACATAGAACTGTAGCAAGTAGTAAGGCTTTCTTCAGAGCTATTATTCCATTTAAACAATAGCTTTTGATGCATGACAGAGTTGAAATATGCTGGCAAAACACCTGAGGGAAACTAGCTTATTATTCATAAAGAAGGATGGATGCATGGATCTTCTCCTGTCTGAATAATATTGTCACAGTTTCCAGCCAAATATTAGCGAGAACCAATGAATTATAGCATCTCTGCTAGTAGAATTAAACTGCCATTAGCGTATTCAATGTCTCATGATTTGAGAAAAAGCAATACAAAAGTGCCTTATTATCATCTATTACCACCTTTTCTCAGTATGTTTTTTAGGTAAATACCCTAAAGCACTCTTGACAGCAATGATGCAGGCGGTTAGGATCTAATAGATGTCAGTATTCTTGACACAACCTGCTATTATTGAGCGCTTTTCCACGAGGTCCAAATTAATTTACAGTCTATCCTGACCTGCATTTTATATTTCCAGTTCTTGGACATTTACAGTTTAAATTTACTGCTTCTTCCCATGACCGAATGTTTCATAAACATAAAAAATATCAGTGGGCATACAATTGGGGGGGGTGGTGGTGGTCGTGCAAAATATACAATTTTGCCCATTATATCCTCACATATCACAGAGTATCTCAGAAAAAGGACATTTGGAGGTTTACCAGATTTTTTTTTAAATTATTTGTATTTTTCTAAATCTGTCAATGGATGGGCATCTTCAAGATAAACTGAAGTCAATAAAAATACTATCTATACATATACCCACATGGGGGTGTGTGTGTATAGAGCCTACCTTTGATACATAGAAAACAACTCTCTCAAAGCATTTTGCTGCCTGTCCTGAGATAATTTTGGATGCTTGTAAAATTTCACTTAAATAAACTCGAAGTATAGGTTTTCTATTCATGTGAGGAGCTTAATATCGCAAAAACTGAAAAAATGGCACTTGGGAGCCAGGACACAAGACATAGACAGGAAAAGGATCACAAGGAAAAACAAACCCTATCTAACACTTGGAATCATAGAATAGTTTGGGTTGGAAGGGACCTTTAAAGGTCATCTAGTCCAATGTCCCTGCAGTAAGCAGTGACAGCTTCAACTAGATCAGGTTGCTCAGAGCCCCATCCAACCTGACCTTGACTGTTTCCAGGGATGGGGCATCTACCACCTCTCCGGGCAACCTGTTCCAGTGTGTCATCACCCTCCTTGTAAAACATTTCTTCCTTATGTCTTGTCTAAATCTACCCTCTTTTAGTTTAAAACCATTCCCCCTTGTCCTGTCGCAACAGGCCCTGCTAAAAAGTCTGTCCCCATCTTTCTTATAAGCCCCCTTTAAGTACTGAAAGGCTGCAATAAGGTGTCCCCAAAGCCTTCTCTTCTTCAGGCTGAATAACCCCAACTCTCTCAGCCTTTCTTCATAGGAGAGGCATTCCATCCCTCTGATCATTTTTGTGGCCCTCCTCCGGACCCGCTCCAACAGGTCCATGTCTTTCCTGTGCTGAGGGCTCCAGAGCTGGATGCAGTACTGCAGGTGGGGTCTCACCACAGTGGAGTAGAGGGGCAAAATCACCTCCCTCGACCTGCTGGCCAAGCTTCTTTTGATGCAGCCCAGGATACAGTTGGGCTTCTGTGAGCGTGCATTGCCGGCTCATGTCCAGCTTTTTGTCCACCAGTACCCCCAAGTCCTTCATCCCCCAGCCTGTATTGATACCAGGGGTCGCCCCGACCCAGGTGCCCAAACCTGCACTTTGCCTTGTTGAACCTGAAAAATGAGGTTCACATGGGCCCACTTCTCCAGCTTGTCCAGGTCCCTCTGGATGGCATCCTGTCCCTCAGGTGTACCAACTTCTCATCATTTACTTCCCTCTGGCCTCCAAAGATCCTGTGGTGAATCCACTCAACTACAGCTTGCCTACACTTTGGTAAAAAAGAAAAGATTTTCACACTGGGGAAAAAAAAACAAACCCAACACATCCAAACTCTACTTAAATCTGCCTTGAAGATGTATTAATCCCAAACAAAATTTTGGTTGTGCACCTGCTGAAAAATCTGTCACTAAGAGTTAATTGGATAAACCCATGCACTCAGCATGTCTTCCAGAGATGTGCAAACCTCCTGCAGTTCTGCTGAACTTGGACCCGAATGCAAAGTTACAGAGCAAAACGTAAAGGTCTGCTCTTATAAGACATACACTTTGCTTACCAGAGGATAACTGTGGATGACCTAGACAAGTACTAGTACCTACACATTTAAAATACCCATAAACAAAAATATGATCACATTATTCAAGCAGTTGAAACCAGCCATAAAAGACAAAGCAGGTGGGTTGGGTTTTTTTGAGTCCGTTTTGCACAATTCATCCTTTTGATTCAATATGCTTTCTTCTTTTTGCATTTTGATGTTGAATCAACTCTGCTGCCATTCGAGTTTTGAAATGTGTGAAATTTTTCAGATTAGTTTCTTGACACTGGTAACATGCATTCATTCCTTTCCTACCTTCACTTTTTCATGCGTATAGATATTACACTGGGTATAGTTTGTCCATGTCCTGTTGCTTTCTGGGTGTCTAAACCAATTCCCACTTGGATCACAGATCTTCGTAACTTTTTCTACAGTCAATGTAGATGGAAAGAAAAACAAAAAAGAAAAACAAAAGAAAAACACAACAGTCAGCACTGAAGTTCTACTTCCTGATGCCTGATATTTAATGAAGGAAGACTGGCAAACAAATGACAGCTTTATTATAACTAGAGAGACACTGCTTGTTACTATGAATTCTGAGAAACTAGAGACCATTGCTCTTGTTTGACAAGGGCAACTGTTGATGTGTTTTTCTTAAGAAAACAAATAGATTTCCCTCCTCCAATCCAGTAAGTATCAAAATATATCGAATTAACTGTTAGAGAACTACTAGATGAAGTGACAAGAATATTTAAATGGCTTGTTGAACATCCAAGATCTAAACTGAAGTCTGACATCATACCACTGTAAATTAGGATTGGACAGGCGGGAAAACATCAATAGAGAAACTGCTCATGAACCAAACTGGAAAATTTGTGGGACTGCATAATGATTTCTATCATCAAATAGAAAGAGGCATGAAAGGTCACTGGGAAATACCAAAGGCAGCAGAAAGAGACAAGCGTGGAAGTCTATGATATTTCCACATGCTCACAGATGCAAAGTTTAGCCTACAGAAACAGGAAAAGATTCATTTGTGGGAGAAACTCTTGTAGACTTCAGCTACTGAATTGAGGTAAAAGAGTAAGTCTGCTTGTCTGTCAGAGAGAAAAGCTCATCTCTAAGAGGAAAAAACTGTGATCTAACTTCAATTTCTATTTCCTAATCTACAGAAACCCTCAAGGACATATTTCAGAAAAGAAAACAAGTAATTTGTCAAGTTTCTATGTGATAAAGGGAAAATGCAAATAATGGGTTTGGCGTTACTGAAATTCTGGAGCATTAGCGACTTGAGTAGGGCATTGGGAGGCATCAAGCACCCAAAACCTCATTTTTATTAAGAAACGTGTTGATGTAGAAGCCCATGCACATTTACCTGATGGGTTGAAATCCTGAAAGTAGTCAGGACAACGCTGTACTGACACAGTTCCGGCAGCCACATCACTCCAGCACAACCAGCCATCCCATGTCCTGTTACAGTAAGGACCTGCAAACAAGTAGATACCTGATAATAAAATAACAACCCTTCTTTCATATAGTCTTTCAAAAGTAAGATGTAAGACTGCATAAGGTAAGTTTCTCACTTGCAGCATTGAGAAAAAAAGAAAATAGAAACATAAGAAATAATAGAAATGGTTCCTTATATGTACGTTTCTTCAAACACATTTTAAAATCCATCATCATCCACCTTGAAACGGTCTACATCTACAATTTACAAACCTCAGATCTAGAGCATGGTAGGCAAAAAAACCTAAATCAATTCAGACCAAATAATGCACATTAACAAAGAGCCTTAAGCTTGCAAAGACCATTTTACTGAATTTATTTACATTTTGGATGTATACCAAGCTTATACATATGTTTACTAGTTCACTGAAAACACAGTGGTATCCTAGAAGCCATCAGAAAGCCTGGCTGGGAGGCAGCCACAGCTCCTCTGCCGCAGGCAGAGCTGAGCCTGCAGCGGTCATCATGGACGAACAATTCTCTAAGTCCTCCAGGGACAGGGAATCCACAGTATCCCTCAAGACCCTGTTTCAATGCCTCATTGCACTCACAGGAATTCTAACATCTAAAATAAACCTCCCTTGAGAATGAGCTGGGGTTTTATAAAGAAATCCTTTCCCAAAAGACATGACTGAATGACTGGCCCTCTCTACAAATTTGAAGATGTTTTTAGTATCTTCCTTCAGTTTTCTTTTTAACACTTAATAATGCCCCCCATCTCAAAGGCTGGATTTTTCAAACATCACATAATTCCTCCTCTTCTCATCTGAAGATTTTCCAATTTGTCCAGATCTTTCTGAAGGTGATGCCCCAGGCTGGACGTAAGCTTACACTCTCATAATCATATCCATTCCTGACCTCCAGACATTCAGTACCTCCAAAGAATCATTTCAGAAGAGAAAAAAACCTAATTGTAAAAGAATGCAATTACCTCTTCTTGCCTCAAAAGCCATTCAATGTTGCCAGAAGTTATAAAGTCAGAAACAGTGAATACAGCGACAGGTAGAGTTACTGAAGTTAGCTCTGAATGAGTTATCAGAAAAAGCATTAATGACACTAATATAATCCTCAGAGCAGGAAAATTATGTGTATCAAGATACTTTCAATTTTTAAAGCCAGATGTGACCAGGGAGACAGAGGTAGTATAAGAACGTGAAATGAAATAAAGTGGTAAGATTAATCAGTCATTTTTTAATCTGGATACCTATTTAAATTAACATTTTCTTATCTCATCAGAAATAAAAGCTTTGTATTATATAAGAAGTGGTGCTATGGGCAGGTAATATAACATATTACTTTATCTTCATGAATCCCAAAGTGACATTTCTAAAAAATTGTACAAATACAGTTATAGCCTGAAAAATGATTGCTACCAAGGCAAGAAATGAATATAACAAAAGGATCCTGAATTACTGTAATTATATCTGTTGACCATTTGCCTTTGTAAAACCTTATAAGAAAATAATCTCTACCTTCTTTCCTATTAATAGGATCTTGCATAATTTTCTGGTAGCATTCATACTGTGCTGTCATAATTTTATTCCGTGTAACACTCAGTTGAGTGAAGTCCTCCGTCATATTCTGATGCCCTTCAGATGGTATAGCAGCGGCAAAAAACTAAGAGGAAAAAGACTTTTTTTTAGCAAATCACGTACAAACTCCAATATAAACTTCTTAAACTTCAGTCTTTTTAAATATTATATTTTAAATATTATTTTACTGAAGGAAAATTATCTTATTACTGACAATATGATTTTGTGGTTTTCTGGTTAATTTAGCAATTCCTCTTACTACTGAATCTTGACAAATATCTCCTGAATGAGCATGGGGGAGTAACAATCTGCAAGATTTATAAATAATAATGGAAAAATGCATAGAAAGCACTGAGACAGTCAGAAGCATATAAACAGCTTTTGCAAAATCCAGCAAAAC